AGGAGAATCTGAATAGAATTACACGTTTGTTTTTGGATTTGTTTATTGACTAGCTTTTAACTTCCCTAATGTGAGAGTGACCAGTGCTCCGAAAAGGTTCGTCCGTTTTCAGTGCTTTTCAAATCTAAAGCTTTCCCACACTAGCAGCTTGATTAAGCTCCCGTAAACCAAGTAGCACCTGGACTGATTTGTGTTCTTTGCAAAGCCCTGAGCACAACGTTCCATCATCCCGACAGCCCCTGGACGTCACCCTTCCCGGGAAATGGCTTCGAGTGCGTGAAAGTCAAGGCAAGCATCGTGGCTTCGCAATCCACCTAGAAGTCAAGAAATCGTGGCTAAAGCTTAGAAGGGAATTTCTCACACTCTGGCTCTCCGACAATCTCGTTGTCAAATATGAAACAATCAACAAATCAAGGATAGTACAGATGGCAAGGCCATGGAGTACCCGGAGGAGCATGATGCTAAAATTTTCATGCTTTAGAATTCGAAATTTGTTTCAGGAGATCACCAAGGAACGGTAAGGGTTTTTTAAAATTTGTTGCTTGAGTTTGCGCAATACTGCCCCACGCGGCTGAACCATAATTATAACTGTAAAGATCTCAAGAAGTTGATGCAAGTTCTTTGGCGCTAGCAAAATACGATATTTTACTGACAAAAACATTGAAATTTTGTGAAAAAGGATTTGGGAGAAGCCGAAACCCAAGCTAAATCTGAGCGAAGCCTCAAGCTTAGCCCCAAGCTGAGGCCCAAACTAAACCTGGGCTAACCCTAAGCCTTTGCCTGCTCACCACTAGGCCCGAAACCTGAGCTAAAATAGGCTCAGCCCAAGGCTAAGCTAAGCCTGAGGTAAGCAGAACCAAAGCGAACCTATGCTAAAGTCCGAGCCTGAGCCACAAGCGTAAGCCTGCGTATTGGAACGTATATAAGCAGAGGTAGATTTCGGCTAGTTGGAAATTTTGATACGACGGGATACTGTAGGCTACTGTAATGAGAGATGCGGTAATCGGCCAATAGTTTCCTAGGTGCTAATAAAACAAGGCTGAAAAATAAGCCCCATGCCAGGGTATAATTAATGAACATGTTTGTGTGCCCACGTAATGAAGTGCGTTGCGGAATTTTGGATACCCGGCCCCTTCCGTGCTCCTCCTGTTTTGGGTATCAAACAGGGCCATCATCATGGGGTGGCGAGCGGGTGGCGGGAGAAGATGGTGGAACGCTTTCGGGGTTGAGGGGATAGATTGCCATCTCTAATAATCGAGATTTAGGGTCGCTACATTGCCTAATACCCCCCAGGCCCATAACAACATACCGGGCATGAGGACACGGCGGGGAGATTTCCGGAAATTTAATCTAAAAAAATTAATGAAATCACGCTTTAGGAAAATTTTGCTTCCTTACTCTTCCCCGCCACCTACAAGACCAGGGAACTTTTGCATTATTGGGGGGGAACTGAAAGTGGATTTTTTATAATAGTCCTGATGCCTATTAGTATAATTTTAGGTATTCTAAAAGTCAATAAAACGCAAATTCTAAAATTAAATAAAATCAATTAGAAAGTTACGATTTTCTCGCGTTACAAGTCTTATTAAGTAATTAAATTAAGTAATTAATTAATTAATTAATTAAAGTAATTAAGTCGCTTATTAAAGTAGGTGCGCTTCGGAATGGTAAAAACAGTCAAAAAATATTTTTCTATCTCCCAGAAAAATGTCAGGAAAATATAGGGTGACAGGGAGAGAGAGAGAGAGAGAGAGAGAGAGAGAGAAAGAGAGCGAGAAAGACTGAAACTTGGATATGGAGAGCTAGCAGAAATCGCTAAAGATTTGCTTCACCGTCTTAAGCGAAAATTTTAAGTCAGTTTGACCTAAAAGAGCCCAATTTGCACACAAAAGTCAACGCAAAATTAGCATGCGGAGAACTTACAATTGATAATTAACATGTTTTTCATACCTGTCTGGCTAAAAACCTATTATCATTCCCCCAAAAATGCGCCTCCTCACGTCGACGCTCGTCCTCCTGGCCGCCGTCCAGGTTCAGGCTGCTGGGTGAGCCCTTTTTGAAACAGAAATGCAAATTGAAGATTGAAAACTCGATTGAAATTGAAAACCTTTAATTTTTTTCAGTCTTGACCCGACGGGACTCTACGACTACGTGGGGCGTCATCTGCGCGAGGTGACGCGCGCAAGCACAGACAAATACATCTGCGACAGCCTGTTTCGATATGTACGGTGAACGAGTTTCTCTCTCTCTCTCTCTCTCTCTCTCTCTCTCTCTCTAGCTTTCTCTCTCTCTTTCCCCGACTCTTTCTCTGTCTTTCTCTGTTTCTCTAGATCTATCACCTATTGTCTTGCTCTCGCGCTCGAGAGAGAGAGAGAGAGAGAGAGAGAGAGTGGTATTATCCGTTGAGATACTCCCCTTCCAGGTCTGTCCAACCGGTATCGACATGGCGACACACGGCATGGGCTCGGCGTTGTACTTCGACATGAGGAACCAGCTCACCCAGTCCGACACTGCCGCCAATCCGCTCGAGACGAGCAGGCCGAACAAGCCGAGGGTACGGTAGATCAGCCACTGAGAAACAATTTGACATTCGCTGACAAATCCCAAAATTTGTTTTGAGAGCGACCTCACCTACTACGACAAGGAGACGCTCAGCCTGATTGCCCCCTTCTTCAGCATGTACCGCCCGTCGCTCGTTGGGGTCCTGGAGGTGGGACTGTTTTTAGCGCGAGGTCTAAGCTAGGCCTAAGCTAAGCCTATGCTAAGCATAAGCCGAAACCGAGGTCTAAGTCTGCTCCAGGATGACGTGCCGTTCGGCGAGACCCTCCTCGCCGCCAGCTACCTGCAGGGCTGGCACGCCGACGACCCGGATCGCGTCATCAAGATGTACGACGAGATGACGCTCGAGTTCATCCGTGTCCTCGATGCGGTAATCCTTCTTGCACTCTCTTGTTCATATACTCTTGCTAGTACGACTACAAGCTGTTCGCGAACCGGGGCGGCCTGCAAAAATTGCGCGACGACATCCGCGAGCAGCTCAAGAAGAAGATGGCCATGGTGGGGTGGATTTCGTTAAGGAATACGGGAAATTTACAGATCCAAATGTACGCCGGGCCTGCGAACGCCAAACAAAGCCTTGCCTCCATGGTCAAGAAGTACAACGACATGCGCGACAAGCTGTACAGGTAGCTGACTGGTGCCTTGTTAACTGTCACTATCCCTTTAAGGGGCAACACCACCGCAAAGAAACTCGCCGACGACGAGGCGAATCCCGGATCAGTAGCTTACCGCCTGCTCCACTTCCGGAAGGTGGTCAAATTTCGTTAATTTTAAAGATTTTGATTATTTTTTTGTATTTAACGCAGTGCGAATGGAATCAAAAAAATGGTTTGTCGTTCTAGGGGTGTATCAATTTACCGGAAAAAATTTGGTCGGGCCGTTGACAGTCCAGAATTGGCGCTGGTTCATTAGCGGGGGAGACTAATTTTGTTTCCTGGCGGTCCCGGCTGGCCTAGTAAACAAATATAAAGTTTGAAACTGTTTTAGCTTTTTTTTTAAGTACAAACCTTTCAAAAAAAGTTAGAAAAATATTTGCAAAATTCGAAAATTTGGTCTTTTTAAGTCAGAAAAATCCATTTTTCGCCCTAAAATTTAATTTTTGGTAAAAATTTGTAGCGTTTTTGATGCATAGGAATAGCTAAAAGCAATGTAGAAGCGCACCCGCTATTTATAAAACAATCTGGCTTGGGCCTACTAGGAGCCCCCCCGATAATGAACCAGAACCCAAACACTTACAATACCTATGGTACCCTCTGATTTTAGCTAGGCGCCGCCCGAGTGGCTGCCCGCATGGTTCGCCAGGATCTGAAGAGGGACTATGGCGAGGGCGGCGACAAAATGATCAAGGGTAACTGGGAAAACAGTTCCTTAGCAATATGCCAATTTGTCAGGCTTGACTCACGTGCTGCGCGACTCGCGCACCGGCGACCTGGCGTCCCGAGTTTTGCCCGCGCTGCTCAACGCCAACTCGCTGCTGCGCATCGCCGATCTGCAGTGGGAGCATGGCGGTCACGACAAGAGGGCCGCGTACCCGCCACTGATCTTTGTGGGTTTTTGAAGATCCTCTCCCTCTCATTCTCTCTCTTTTGCGCTCTCTGTTCCTCTCTATCGTTCTCTCGCCATCGTTCTCTCTCACTCTGTCTCTCTCACTCTCTCTCTCACTCACTCACTCTCTCACTCGCTCTCACTCGCTCTCTTTCGCTCTCTCTCATTCTCTCTCTCTCTCGCATGTCTACCGATCTCTCTCTCGCTCTATCTCTCTGGCTCTCTCGCTCCCTCTCCCGCTCTCTGTCTCTCTCTCCCTCTCTCTCTCTCTCTTTCTCTCTCTCTCTCTCTCTCCCTCTCTCTCTCGTTTTCTATCATTAGCCTGGCCGTTGTGGTCCGGTTGGCCCTACATCCCCAAGCAGTTCCACTTCTCGACTTCACCACAATTTTGTTTACAGTACTCCACCGTCGGCACCGAGATCGCGATCGAGTTCCTGAAGGCGTCCCGCGACAAGAATCACGTGCCCGAGTCCCGCAACTGCTCCTACGAGTACTTCAAGTCGTTCTGTCTGGCCGGCAACGACGTGAGCGAGTTTGGAGACCATTTTCCGGGGCTGCATTCTTAGCGGGGGAGGGCGAATTTTTTCGCGGTAATTCCGTAAAGCCTTATGGCGTAACATTAGCCAATTCTATGACATTTTAGAGCGTTTTTGATGCGAAAAGCTCATCAAAAATTATAAAAATACTTCGAAAACCGTCAAAAATCGCAAATTTTTTAAATTTTGCCAGACTACTTTATTCAGTTTTTAGAAAACTGAGCTCCCCCGCTAACAGCACAGGACCACTTGTCGCGCCCGTCTTTAAAAGCACGATCTCCCAAATTTCAGAAAGGCTGCGAGAAGCAGCTCGAGCAAGTCGGCGTCGAGGAGGAGGAGATCATCTACGGCACGGCGATCCAGCTGTCATTCGAAGCGTGGCGCCGCAACTACCCTCTCCCTGCCTTCTACGGCGACAAACCCCTCGCCACCATCGTCTTCCGCGAGCTGACCATCGGCGACATGTTCTTCGCCGCGTGGGCCGTACAAAAGTGCGACTCGTACACCAGGACATTGCCTAGGTATCGATTTAATGGAGTCGGATACGATTTTTTGAACTTCAGTACTGGTCATTTAGCGGGGGGGGGTTGGATCGTGGCTGAAATTTTTTCCAGTACGACCCTTTAGCGAAATACCAACCATTTTTATATCATCACTGCAATTTTTTTAGATAGGAAAAATATATAAAAAATTTGGCACTGTGCTGTTAGCGCGGGGGGACGCGTGAAACTTCACAAATTTTGATTAGAAAACCCGCAAAATAGCGATTTTTCGACCAAAAACGGCCGCATTTCGACGAAAATCCTGCCTAAAAATTTTTCCCAGCTTTTTTTAACTAATGTTTGATTTTTCATTTCATTTCCTATGAAAATACGCTATTTCTTTTAGCAGGTTGGATGAAAAAATTAGTTTCCCTTCTAATCCCCCCTGCCACCTGGTACCTAATTTTAAAAAATCTAATTTTCAGCAAGGAATCATGGGGCATGCGGACGTTGATCGACGCCGCGTCAGCCAATCACCCGTATTGGATCGAACAGTGTGGCGAGCGGGATTATATGCAGAGGGTGCGTGGAGATTTTCACGCTCTCTCTCCCCCCCCTCTCTCTCTCTCTCTCTCTCTCTCTCTCTCTCTCGCTCTCCATCTCTCTCCCTTACGCTCTCTCTCTCGCTCTCTCTCTCTCTCTCTCTCTCTCTCTCTCCCAAACATCTCGATCACGATTGCTTCCAGGTCGAACGCTGCCCTTTGCTGCTACCCAAGGAGTACCACGTGGACCTCTAGCTCAGGCTGCCCCACCTCATCTACTGGCAGCGCCCATCGATGCCAGCCCTGCCACCACAACCACCTCCAAGATGTTCAGCCACAAAAAACACCCGTCGTTTATTTTTTTGGTTCCCCCTGCGTTTGGCGGTAGCTTTGGCATAAAGCTATTTCGATGGGAATTGATGGTGTGGCTGCAGGATTCGCAGCCAAGAAGCTACAAAAGCTACGTAAAGCTACAAACTACATGAAAATACGTCATGTTTTGTCGCTTGCACAATTTTTGCCTTGTCTTTTTTCTTTCGCTGCTTTCTTTCGGAATCCGATATTTCGAAATCGTCAGGCTTTGGAATGTTTAACATATGCGTCAAACCCGTCAAAACTGTATTATCGTTCCATCATGCTCATCAGGTACACGCCATGTAATTCGCTTTCAGCAGGACCTTGAACACACGCCAGATTTGTTAAAAATCGGAAATATGGATTTTTTGCATTATCGGGGGGGGGAAGGGAATGGTGTCATCAATATCTGATTTTGCACATGTCTTGAATATAATACAATAAAAATATTTACTATCATGATACTAGGCGTTTCTGTACTTACTACAGACGAAATTCGATTCGTTGGGGTTTTTTTGCAACTTTCTGATCCCCTAAATCCTCATCATCCACGAAATAGTAATTTCGGCCCACCCAGGCAGCCATCCCCCTGACTCTCACGAATTCCTGGGTGGTCCCACCAGATGATGGCATTTGGAAAGTGATGGAAAAACCGAGCTGAAAGTAGTGTGCTTTTCATGGTCATATGGCTGGCATTTTCGAGGGAATCTAATGAAGATCGGGTCCACGGCAAAGGTCAAAATGGCGCTGCAAGTCTATGCTTGCTATTATAGCTCTGGGTCGAGGCGGTGAGGGTGGTCGACATTTGGCTGGTCGTGGAATCTTATTAAGCGGGGGCGAAAAATAGACTTACGGGTTCAAAATCCGGTACTTATACGTGAATAGGAAACTGAAATTGTGGTTGCGTCTGGGCGCATTCCAAAGCCTCGTTGCTCCCTCAAATACGACAAATTTTTGCGCTCTTTCTCTTGCTCTCTCACTCGATTCTATCTTTTCTGCCTTACCCTCTCCTGCTCTCTCTCATGCTCCTTTTTCATACCTCTCTTTTGGGTTCTTCCTTCATCTCTCTCACCCGTGCTCCATCTCGTGCTCCTTTTCTCTTTCTCTTCCACTCTCTCACTGCTCTCTCGCCCGCTCTTGCTTTCCCTCGCACTCACTTTCTTGCCCTCATCCTCATAATCTGTATATCTCGCTCTCGATCATCATTCTCTATCTCCATCTCTATAGGTCTTTCACTCTCTCGTGCGCCCTCTCTCGCTCCTATCTCTCTCTCTCTCTCTCTCTCTCTCTCTCTCTCTCTTTCACGTTCTCGCTCCCGCTCTCTCTCCATTGCGTTCTCTCTTTTCTCTTTCCTCAATCATTTCCGACCCCGGGATTACGGTAGCTCTCTTTCCCAATTGAAGACCACAAGAATAGAATCAACCTTCAAAAGTTCAACATCATCCCGGGGTCCAGACGCCATTAACTCCGACGTCCCCTCCTCCTATATAGTTTTTGTGTGGGTGGCTGTCTCAAGCTCATCGTCGGCTCTCGACCCGTAATTCCATTTTGGTCATTAGCTGTA